TTATTATCTCTGAACTTCTCCATCAAACCTCTCAATAAATGTATAGCTTCCATAGTAGACCTGCCAGGCATAAATCCAAATTGATTATGAGAAATTTTCGTGATGCATCTTAACCTATGTTCAATTACCCTCTCTCATAATTTTAAAGTATGACACATCAACTTAATTCCTCTATAATTTGCACACTCTTGTGCATCCCCTTTATTCTTAAAAATGGGGATCAAAATACTCTTCCTCCACTCCTCAGGCATCTTTTTAGTTTTTAAAATAATATTAAAGAGTTTAGTAAGCCAAGAAACTCCCAAATCTCCCAAATATTTCCACACTTCAATTGGGATATCATCAGGTCCTACAGACTTTCCACCTTTGGTTTTCTTTAAAGTCTTCTCAACTTCTTTTTTGCTAATGCGACGGTAAAAATGAAACGTTTTATTAATATTTACGATATTAAAATCACTAAGTTCGATCGTATTTTCAGAAACTTCATTAAAAAGTTTATCAAAGTAACTCATCCACCTATGTTGAATATCTTTTTCTAAGAAAAGTACTTTTTGATTTTCATCTTTAATACACTTTACTTGAGTTAAATCTTTACTTTTCTTTTCTCTTTGTTTGGCTAGTTTATACATATATTTTTCACCCTCCTTAGTATCTAATCTATTATAAAGATCATTAAAAGCAGAATTTTTAGCATCACAGATTGTTCTTTTAGACTCCCTGCGAGCCGTTTGATATTTTCTCCAGTTCTCTAAGCTTTTACATTTAAACCAATTTTTATAACATAACTTCTTATATTTTATCTTTTCTTGCACATTATTATTTTACCACCAACTATTTTTATTTGTAAATATTTTTCCCTTTGATTCTCCAAGAACATCTTTTGCTACATGTTTAATAGCGTTTGTTACTTTATCCCACATCACATTTGCTTTTTCATGAATATCCCAAATTTTGAAATCTTGAATTTTACTCATAAAATTAATTTTATTTGTATCTTTTAAGTTTCTCCATCTAATTCTGCAATGATGAGTCCTAGTATTTTTTATTTTACAACTCTTAATCTTAAAATCTAAAACTAATAAACGATGTTGGATATTTAAAAATTTCAAGTATTAAAAAATTTAAATAATTCAAGCTTAAACAATATGTGAAAACTCGACACAAGCTCAAGCCGAACATTAACAAATTATAACTAGACCAAGCCAAGTCTAATCTATGGTATAATCGGCTCGACTCGACTTGATTACAGCCTACGTGCAGCTCATTACAATTATTTTCACTTTATCACCATGTGGAGCCTTCCTTTCTGTACTTTATTTATTAATAATATCATTTGAATCCTATTACAAGTAATTACAGACAAATTCATAAAGCTTGCACTTCAGCTTAGAAGCCTAAGTTTAATGAAAAGGTTATTTAGTTAATCAAAAACTTTATTTAGATAGCAGTCTAACCCGAATATAGGATTTTCCATAAGGATTTCTAAACTCAGTGTCATCAAGCTTGCGAACCTGTTGAAAAAATAAATAAATAAATATTATTACAAATAAAAATTAGTAAAAAAAATAATAAATAAATCAAAGAGCCGGCTTACAGCATATTTCATATCCTCATAGTTAGTATAATCAACAAGGCCCATAGCTCCTGAAAATACATGCAACGTTTAAAAACGTTTAGAATCTTAAAAAGTTAATTCAGAATGAAATTCTAAAAAGATATGCAAATACATTAAAAAGAAGGCATGGTAACAAAATATCACCTTAGGAAAGAGTAATAATGTAAGAATCATATTAATGTTGTCAATGAAGCCAGTTTAAATAGCATGTAAGAGTGACATGGGCATTCTTCATTCTACTAAGCCACAAGACAAGCGTATTTTTATTGCCAACTACGAACAGACGGTCCAAAAAATAGGTATGTATTTTGACAGATAATGGCAGAGTGGTTTCAAGTACGTTATTTATCCTGATTGCCCTATTTACAATTTTTTTATAACGTTGTTGCAGCATCTTCAAGAAAATTTGCTAGTTATGAGATAAAATACATAAATATATTTCAATTTTAGGTTGACAGAACCCTGGAAAAGAACATGCCCAAGTTTCCAGGACTAATTTCACTCCACATCTTGAATAAAAGCAAAAACATACTCAGCCGTTTTTAGTTTAGTTTCTAACATACTTAAACCACTACACTTACAGAATGAAAACCTGGAGAAAATAAGAGGGAATGATGTAATGAGGAACAAAAGAATGACAGATCAAAAAAGTTTAGCAAATCAGCACAAAAGACTAATATGTTTAGCCCAAAAAAAAAAAAGGAACAAAATAGCATTTCTTCAAGACATAGTCCACCATTCCATGAACAGATAAAATGAATAATATATCTAACAGCTCAATATGAGTTATTCATTTTTAAAACAACAAAAACTTTCTTGGATTCAAAATATATATATTTCAATTACCTCTTAATTAGTCAAAAACCAAAATATATTTAAAAATTATAAATTTCGCTTCTATTGGTAAAACCTGGTGTCACACTAAGTTAGTGTTAGACCGCCAAAAAGACCAGCATAAACATTTACAATACCAACTATTAAGAGCTCTGACCATCAATGATTTGTGCCTCAAAAATGTGATAGAACAATGCAATAGTTACTTACGACAAATAACGAAATTAGCAAAATAATAAATCAAAAAGAACAAACTATATGATTGTTGCAAAGTAAATAGGCATTCAGGGCTATAAAATAACACTACTTCAGGGATTTTTACATGAAACACAGATTACATTCCAAGTGCGAACCAATAATAAAAAAACTTCACACATTTTAGACATTTTGATGCAAGAGCACAAACCCGTTTCATCCATGTATTTGTTACTATTTTTAGCCGATTTATCTTTTTGAGAAAATGAATATCTTTTAACCATTTAATCCTGGTTATATAATCCCTGGAACACGGATGATATTTTATTATATCTTTTTCTAATCATTGCCGTTAAATTTCTCATCATATTATATGTGCGTTTGTGTTTATTTTGGATAGCCTTGATCTATAATCAAAGAAATTTTGGCCGTTTCCAACCTTCTAGAACTCCATTGGCTCTTCTCTATATCCATCTAAGTTCATAACATAAGCAAGATCAGCACTTGACCTATTGGCATTGCAGGATCACTAGGTTACTTAATATCCTCCACCCTCCACAAATGATAGAAATGGAGAAAACATAATCTTTAGCAAGAACCAAGTAACGTGAAAAGCAACAATACAGAACATCTAATAAACATTGAAGATGAGATGTTCAATTGCAGCTTTAACAATTAAGGCATCTAAGCATAAATGCAAGTTTTGTTTAATTTCAAGTTTGGCAAGACATAATTGTACAATTTATGATATACTTCCTACAACAGTTCAGCCTCCACCTTAATGAATGGTCCTACATTTTTTTTTCTTTTCTTTGGCATGTAAAATGATGTACTATAGTTTTAATTCTTTAATGGTTCATAATATAACATGAATAGAACAAATCTACCAATTTTAAGATGCATATGTAATAATTAAAGACCCGAAACTTGATTTTGCACACAGAATCATGAATCTGTGTTCATCCTTCGTATTGCATCTGTGATTTTCAGAAAACCTTTTTTTTTGGTGGGGCATTTATATACATTTTGCACAAAGAATCATGAATTTGTGTTCATCCTTCATATCGCATCTATGATTTTTAGAAAACCCTTTTTTTTGTGGCATTTACATACATGCCACTCAAGTCTTATGTATTTCATATCTACATCTAAACATTCATATTTGCATACATAACACTCAAATCTTTAATATCACATCAAAAATAACATCATCACTACCTTTTTAAAAGTGACATACACCTTTTCATGCATAATTTTATGATAACAAGGTTTTACAAGTATAAATATCAAGCTGGGGATATGAGATATGTGAATATATAAGAATTGTGCATATTGTATGTAAATTTCTCTCCTTTTTTGTTTTTGTTGACTATAAGTTTGTGGTTTTAATCAAGTTCTAGCCTGAAATAAATCATCAAAACTAACAACTTCTTACATGATTGAAATCTTAGTTACTTCGATATTGCTTATTCATAGATGGAATTAGTGCAATTGATATCATCATTAGCTTTAGCTCAACTATTTGTAATAAAATTTATGAATCCTCAATCTCCATTCATGCCGTTTAAGTGCCGCATGAAATGTTGAAGCTAATCTGTTCAAAGCTAAGTTACTATCATTTTGTAAACTTTTATCCACATCACAATTATTCTAATTTTTTCCTCACAATCCGTTGGCAATAATAATCTTATCTAATCGTCTTATGGGGTGCATTCTTACCCTTTGTATAAGACCCCGTTTGGGGCAGCTTAAAATGAAAACGCCGTCTTACTGTTTGAATAACACATTTACCCTGCGTGCTCGAAATCGCGATTTCTATTTTACGAATGACACCGCCCGCGGGATCATACCCGCAATCCGCGTTGTCTTGTCGCGTTTTCTCCTGAATTACTCCGCTGCCCTCAAATCGCGATCGAACCCCTACCCTTGCGCCTCTCGGATTCGGCATTTCTTCCTCCTTCGTTCGCGATCGAGCTCGCAGACCCGCTCCCTGCTTCTTCGTGTTCCTTCAGCACGAGTGCTTAGAAAAGTATGCCGCTTTCTAAAGCGGAGAATTTGTGATTGAATAACATGGAGGAGGTGTTCAAGCCCTTCTATGAGAGGGCAGCTGAAGCTGAGGTAGGCAATGCAAATCATCTCAATGAAATTCTGGATTGTTGCAATACTTGAATGCAATGTATTCACCTCTCATGCTTTCATGATTTCCTCTTCGTTTCTTCTTCTCTATTCCCCTCTGGAGCAAGACAACTGGTTTGTTTCATTGCCCTAGGCTATTTCAGTGTGGAAAGCGTTACATTAGTAAGGATTAAGGTTGTAACAAGGATTATTTGATTTTATTAAGCAGATGAATCTAGAAGAATGATATTACTGATCTTAGTTGTTTAAGGTTGTACAAATTAGAAATCAAAGAGGAACGCTCGGTGGTGAAAATTTTCAAGCAAAATTCATGTTTTCTTATTTTTCAAGCAAAATTCAGATTAATTAGTTTACACCTCAATTATGTTCATTTTCTGCTAAGTTTCGGAGTGATCAGATTTTATCTTGATGGTTATTCTACTTAATCTTATTTTTTTACCTATTTTAAATTCGTTTTATTATATTTCAATTCAGATGTAAAGCAAGTGATGAATTTCGGATTGGGGATTTTGTATGGGGGAAGATCCATGGCCACTTGTGGTGGCCTGGGCAAGTCTGCAACCCATCAGATGCATCAAAAGAAGCCAGGAATTCAGAACATCTTGATCATCATGTTCTACTGGTCTACTTCGGTGAAATTACATTAGCTTGGTGCAAACCTTCCGAATTGAACATTTATCTCATCAGAATAGCTCTCATAGCTTTATTAGTGTTGTTAAGGTTGCTATGCATGAGATAACGAACAATTTAAGCTCTGGATTGACTGTTATTGTGTGCCTTCAAAGAAAATTGTGCAATTTAGGATCAGTAAGAATAATGATATTAGCAAATCTTTCATCTGCCGCAATGCATATATTTGTTCTTGCCAACAAGTATTGGTTGTCGCTTGAATTTGCTTATTTTAAAGCCTTAAATCTTTTTAAAACTTCCATAGCAACACGGTCTGTTTCCATGAACTATGTTATTTTTGCAAGAAAGGTGTTTGATCACAGCAAGCTATGTTGTTCCAATAGGTTTTACAGGTCAATCAATTTAAAATTAAGAAATTATATTTTGGTAGACTATAATTTAAAAGAAAAAATTAGAGAACAACTTGATTTTTTTCAAACAATAATATTAATCATTTTGCAATACATCAATTGGCACATCACTTGAAAGACACATCTCGACCTTTGTAACGACAGGAGGACTGCAAATTCTTAAGGTGGGCCGACAGAGAGTATGTTTCTATGATATCTGAACTGGACACCGCTGCTCAGAGTTCGTCGATATCAAAATTTCAAGACACTACATCTGGTTCGAGTGCTTCCATTCCTACTTATTTGTGTTCAGATATATCTGAGTTATATAAATGTAGCTCTACTTGTTTGTATTGTCTTGTCTTAGCATCTAATCTTTAATTTTGTTGATAAAATAACTTATTCTGCTACACATATTATTAATTCAACTAAAAAATTTGCAAATAAGTTGTTTACAAAACACACGAATCAAACAGCTCAACAGCTTATTCAGAACAGGGGCAGATTGGTCATTTCTTCAGAATCTTCAGAATCATCAGTTGTTCTCAAAACACATTAACCAAACAGCCAGACAGATTATCCGGATCAGCTGCCCATCAGTAGATTATCAGGATAAGTTGTTTATCAGCAGAAGCTGTATGGGCTGCAACTGCCCCAAAAAGACCCTAAATATAAACTACTAAGTTTATTTTTTATTATAATATATCTACAGCAAATGCACTCCAAAAATTAGAAATAATAAATAATAAAAAAGCGATCATTCCACCGATGAGCATTTATACACAAAACTACCAAAAAAAAAATTGAATTTTAAAATTTAAAATAATTTAAATATTAAAATTGTC